CATCTCCAGATGACTCCTTTCACAGAGCCGTTGCCTTATACTTCCACTACATGAAGGCACAGGCGATGGTGATGCCTCTGTCCGTGATGCGGGTCTACCTGGGGACCCAGGGGCTGTGATTCCCGGCTCATGGAGGGGGTGTGAGAACGACTTGAAAAGGAGGAAAATGAAAGAGGAAGATGTGAGATCCACAGGTCAGGGACTCAGTCAGGCTCTTGACAATCAATTTAATTCAGGTGAAGGCTCTTCCCTCGCTCAGTGCAGCCACCAAGGGAGCATAAGGGATGCGGCATAATGGGGTGACATGACATCAGAAGTAGCCGAGGGCCCCTGGGAAGTCAGTGGAGCTAATGAACATGGGGACCAGGATCCAAGGAACAGCACCTCCTGCTGTGGGAAGAAACAGCTCTTGATCTTTGAGTTCTGGCATCTAGGAGCTGCAAACCTGCGTCCCTGAATGTGAGAGCAGACATGGGAGGGAGGGGGCGGGGGCCTCTGATAGCAACGGAGTGTGGCCAGTGGGCCAGACCCACAGACCCTAAGACCCACAAGAGCAGCCCCTGGCACTCAGGTTGCACTTGGAGCTGGAGCCCATGGTGGCCAGTCCCAGCAATCCCAGAGCAGAGGAGGTCCCGGATGGGCTTGGGGCCATGGGCTCTGCCATTCTGGGCACCATCAAGGCGAGGATTTGTGCTTAGAAACTGCCCTGCTGAGAACCAGCCACATGGCAGACAGGGAGTGACACCTGCTCACTCACTCACTTTGTTCTCCTTGTCTAGAAAGTCTACAGGAACTCTTGGGAGCAGACTCGGGCTGGCGGCTACGACTTCAGGCTGGACGCCATCCCGTTCCAGACTGCCCGGGCGTCCAGGGAGATCGCCAGCGACGTAAGGCCTTGTGTTCTCTCGCCTCTGTGACCAATAGGTCTTACTCTGGTTTTCCCAGTCCTGTTGACAGGCAAACCACCAGGAACCGAAACTGAACAAGTGGTTCACATGAGAGGAAGAAATAGGCTTTACTTCTGAGAAGTCCATTAACACGTGATTCATTTGTTGAGTTGCAGTAAAGGGACTTCTTTCAGTTGAAGTGCAGTATGATGGGGTTGGAAGAGATTGGTTTTCCCCCTTCATTGACTTAAGATCCTGGCTCAGTCATTTAGGAATTGGCTCTAAGGCAGTGGTTCTCAACCTTCCTAATGCCACGACCCTTGAATACAGTTCCTCAGGTTGGGGTGACCCCCACCCATAAAATTATTTTCGTTGCTACTTCATAACTGTAATTTTGCTACTGTTATGAATCATAATGTAAATATCTGATATGCAGGATGTATTTCCATTGTCATAAATTGAACATAATTAAAGATTAGTGATTAATCACAAAAACAATATGTAATTATATATGTGTTTTCCGATGGTCTTAGGCGACCCCTGTGAAAGGATCGTTCGACCCCTGAAGGGGTCGCGACCCACAGGTTGAGAACCACTGCTCTAAGGTCTTGGACGAGTTGCTTAAATTCTCTGAACTCAAATTTTTACATTTATGAAATAGGGATCTAACACTTGTCTACTATGATGGATGTGGGAATGAAAACAGAATGGTTTAGAGCGTCCTGCCCATAGCAGGTGTCCAAACACGGCAGCTGTTAAGATGGAAGAGGAAGCATCGTGGTTAGATATGCATCATCTGTGGATGGCTTGGTACTGGTCCACAATGAGATACATACAGAAACCAAGAGCAAGCATTTAGAAAGATGTTTAACAATTAGACATGTGACATCCAGGCATGCGACCTGTGGACTCATCTTGTTGAGCAGGGGGGCGGCCAGTTTGGGTGTTTTTAAATCCACGTGGTACCACTGTGCACTAATTGTGTCCAGTAGGACCATATATTTGATGAATTGCATATTGAAAAAGCAAATTGAAATGAATGTGGTCCTTTATATAGAGAGTTTGAGGAGCACTGGACTGGATCCCTGAAAGATGGAAAGAATCAGAGGCAGAGTGGCTGCTGAGAGAATGGGTACATTTCTCTTCCATGGGATTGTGAATTACAGCAGCAATAATACTCGTAGCCACCACTCAGTGCCAGACATGAAGCTAACCCTCCATGTCATGGAATCTTCTCCATGTCCCATAGGGTGGAAGTTCATTCTCCCATTTTTTTTTGTTGTTGTTGTTAAATATTTGTATTGCATTCAGAGAGGAAAGGAGAGGGAGAGAGAGAGATAGAAACATCAATGATGAGAGAGCATCCTTGATTGGCTGCCTCTGGCACGCTCCTACTGGGGATCGAGCCCACAACCCGGGCATGTGCCCTCCACTGAAATCAAACCTAGGACCCTTCAGTCCACAGGCCAGCGCTCTATCCACTGAGCCAAACCAGCTAGGGCCATTCTCCCATTTTTATCAGTTGGGGACACTGAGGCTCAGAGAGACTCAGTAACTGGCCCAAGGCCACACAGCTAGAAGGTAGCAGAGGGCCATACAGATGGTAAGTCTACTTGAATCCAAAGCTGTGCCCTTGACCCACTGTAGAATTCCTGCTGAGAATCCGTGGGGAGAGGTGGGTACCCATGACCCATCTCTGCTCTTCTGACCTGCAGTTTCGGTATAGAGAGGCCTTCCTGCGGGACCGGGGCCTGCAGATCGGGTACCGCAGCATCGACGATGACCCAAGGATGAGGCATTTCCTCAGCGTCGGCAAGCTCCAGAGTGACAATGAGTACAAGAAGGACTTTGCTAAGAATCGGTCCCGGTTCCACAGCCGCCCAGACCAGCCCGGCTTCCTCCAGGCCAAGCGGAGCCAGCAGCTGGCCAGCGACGTGTGCTACAGGCAGCCCTTGCCTCAGCCCACCTGCGACCCGGAGCAGCTGGGCCTAAAGCACGCACAGAGGGCCCACCAGCTGCAGAGTGATGTGAGCTGCCCCACCCGCCTGGCCGAGGCCCTTCAAAGAGGTGGCTCCAACCCCACATTCAGGCTCCATCTGGGAGGAGCCAGGCTGAGATAGAACCCGGGATGCCTGATACATTAGTTCCCGAAGAAGTAATAACAATAACTGCGCTTTATCCAGTCCTTACTGTGGGCCAGGCTGCGGTGCCAAATGCTTTCCAAGCGTTGTGTCCGGTAGTCCTCCCAATAGCCCCATTATTGCCCCATTTTACAGAGGAGGGACCTGAGGATTCAAGAAGTTAAGTGACTTACTCAAGATCCCGTGGCAAGCAAGTGGCAGACCTGGGACATGAACCCCTTTGGCTTGATGTGAGAGCCCACGCTCTTGATTGCTATGCCAAACTCTTTCCAGGGGATCTTAGTAGTTACCTGACCCAGCCCTTGCCCTTTTCTCTCTGGGAGGAAACCGAAGTCCAGGGAAGGGAAGTGACTTGTCTAAGGCCACAGAGCAAGGTAAGGTAGGAGCTTGGACTTGAACCACATCTCCCCATCCACCACCCCCATTGTGCTCCCGTCACTTGAAACGGGTGGGGAGCGTCTGGCCCACAGGCCACATAAAGGCCGAGACATCATTTGGTCTGGCCCTGCCAAGGCATTAGGGGTGAGTTAATTAAATGTGTGACCAAATAGAGCGGGCTAATCTTTAAGTTGATAACTTTGTATGGCCCACGGATGATGTTATAAATACCCACATGGCCCTTAGCAGAAAAAAGGTTCCCTCCCCTGAGAAAGATGCAAGGGACAGCGACAAGCTGGCCGGGCTCACAGCACGTAGGGTCAGGGAGCTCCTGCTTTAGATAAGTTTGCTTTACTGCCAACACATTTTCCATCTACGCTCGCCTTTAAGCCTCTCCACCCCATGCCCAAACCATCCCCAAGCCTGCTGACACATTCCTCTTACTTCCCTTTCCCCCCCAAGGTCAAGTACAAATCAGACTTGAACCTGACCAGAGGTATTGGCTGGACCCCTCCTGGCTCCTACAAAGTGGAGATGGCTCGGCGGGCTGCAGAACTGGCCAACGCAAGGGGCCTGGCTCTCCAGGGGGCTTATGTAAGTAGCAAGGGGCAAACCCGGCTTGCAAGGCCACGGGGAAGGGCAAGCTCACCTTTCCTTTTTCAGACTTTATTTTTGGCCAAAGGTCAGCTGGCTCTAAAGAGTGTGAGATGCAGCTCGAGCAAGGTGCCTAATTCCATGGGTCCAAGGTGACCAGGCGGATGACACCTGGGTTAAACTTCCTGCAGGGTTTTCTCTGAAGCCACAGCCATTAGTTCTGCGGAGACGAACCTGCTGGGGCCGCATCAGTCCTGGGCCACGGCGGCCCAGGCTGGGCTGCCTGCTTGCTCATTACGTTCCCACAAAGGGTCAGGGACTTGCTGGCTACACCAGTCTGGGTTTTGAACCCTCCTTTGTTCAGAAGAAAGACAGTGCATCTAAATGAGAGATTGGCTTTGCTCCCTCCTGGTTCTTGCCTTGAGGATCCTTTCTCTGGAGAGAGGGTGGTGGAGGGGAGAAGTAAGGGCGGGTGGACGTGTTAAATGCTCCCGGGGCCTCTTAGACAGCTCATCCTAAAGGAGCCGGCTGGAAGCTTCGTTTGGACTCACGGAGGTGTGTTTGGTTTCTGCAGCGGGGGGCAGAGGCTGTGGAGCCCAGAGATCATCTGAGGGCGGATGTGAACCCAGATGCCACTGAGATTCTGCACGTCAAGAGGAGGAAGGTGCTGCCGTTGTGAGCAAGTGGGTCCACCCAGGATTCTCGGGAGAGACGCTGGAGAGGAAGCTTACACGCCAGCGACAGGCCTAGTGGCTTCAGCTGGGGCGAGCCGTGCAACGGTACACCAGCCATGCCCTGGTCGCCTTTATTAAAGTAACAAGTCTGTGAAAGCAGATGGAGAATGCGGTCTTTTGTGGTCCTCTGGCTGCTACCTAGAAGTGGACGGCTCGTTCTGTTGGGGGCCTTGAGTGTCTCCGATGAGGCATACAGATGCCAAGGGTCACCCACCGATGTGGAACGTTGAGAGATCCCACATTGGCAAATGTCCGAGGTGGAGGCAGTCAGTGAACCGTGATTTTCTAGAAGGTGCCATGGTGTGAAGGGAAGCAAGCACAATATATTTAGGGCTGATTCTGTCATTTCCCGACTGACTCAGGAGGGAGCCTGATGATGGTGGAGATGTTGGTCCGGGACGCCCCAGGCCGGGAAGCTGTTGTCTCTGCTTAGAGCACGGATACTTCGCCGTGTGCATCCTGGAGGCTCCCAGGGGTGTCTGTTGCTGCCCACGAGGCCTCGCCTGGTCTGGGTGCTCAGGAGGAGGGGCTCTGAGGTTCGCAAGGCACCTTAGAAGCCAGTCTCCCTTTGGATGGTGGCTTTGATCCAATTCAGGAACTTGGTAACTTGGGTGTAGACCCCTGGCTTCTTCCCACATTCCTCCCCCCAGCTCACTATCCCGTAGACATAGTAGGTCCCATCCTTCTCACAGGTCAGAGGGCCTCCAGAGTCACCCTGGGGGGAAAAGATGTGAGTTCAGCTCTGTGAACAGAATGCATTAGGAGACACCCCACTCCCATGAGGGGTTGGCAGCAGGGGATGTCGTGGGCCCTCGGGAAAGCAATGACAAGACTCTTCCTGGGCCTCATGAGACCCAAGGGTCTGAAGCAAATACCAGCCCCTGCTCCTGGGTCAGGGAGGGCCTGGCTGAGGGGCACAGGGCCAGGCCACAGTGCTGTGGTCACAGCCTCATATCCAGATGCCATCATGGCTCTCAGTAACACAGGTATTACTATCATGAGTTCTCAGGGGCCCTCGACTCCTCATTCCAGCAAGACCTGGGGTGGGGTTGGGGTGCCCTGTTAGGGCAGAGCCCTTCCAGGACCCACCGGGCACACACAGGGTAGAAGGGCGGGCCTCAGAGGCCCATGGCTCAGACATCCAGCATGGTTTATGGGGTTAGATCTTCCGGGTTCCAAATCAGGCCCTACCTCCTGCTAGCCAGCTGGGCCTCCATGTCTCACATTGGGAATGGTGTTAGCAACAGAACACTACCCCCACCCCCAGGATTTTTGTGAAGATTTAATGTTTGTAAAGCACATAGAACAATGCCTGGTTTATATCAAACCCCACACCCCAAGGAAAGCGGCGAGGAGGAGGATGGCTCTCAACCACACAGCACTGCTTACACTCTCCAACTGTGTAGACAGGATTTTCAATGTTAATCTCTTTTCATCTGCCTCAGATCTTATGGGGACAACATTTCCATCTTATAGATGAGGCACCTGAGCTTCCAGAATTATTTTGGTGCAAGGGACTGAATTCATATGTTGAAACCTAACCTCCAAAGGGATGGTATTGGGAGGTGGGGCCTTTGGGGGGCGGGATTAGGTGATGAGGGTGGAGCTCTCATGCATGGGATTCTTGCCCTAGTTAAAGGGACCTAGAGAGCTAGCTCACTCTCTCCACCACGTGAGGACACAATGAGGAGTTGGCAGTCTGCAACCCGGGAGAGGGTTCTCCCTGGAACCCAACCATGCCGGTGCCCTGATCTCAGACTTCCAACCTTCAGAACAGTGAGAAATTCCTAAGCTCTGTCAAATAACACTAGTGGCATCCCCCTTGACCAGAGTGTCACAAGGATGAAATGCAGCAATGCAGGCAACGTGACGTCACCACCATGGTTATTGTGCTGTGTCTTCCTGGATTGATAATGGATTCAGATATACCAACCTAGGCCTGTGCTTTACGGCAGGTGGGTCCCCGAGCCTGTCTCCCAGCCCAGGGCTCTAAGGGGGTCTGTGCCCTCGTGTAAGGTCCTGCTAGCCTCTTGCTCTCCAAGCCCATTTGGAGTCTCTGACCTGGCAGGTGTCTTGCCCAGGCCTCTGCAGGTTTCCCGCACAGATCATGGTCTCGTCGATCGTGTGGTTGTAGAGTCGGCGGGAGTTGCACAGAGTGTTGGCGATCAGCTTGACTTTGGCGTCCAGGAGCTGTCGGGACCCTTCCCCTGTGGGGCAGAAAGAAAAGGTGGCCACTGAGGGGACCAGGGTGGCACCCAGCCCACCAGAAGCCAGCAGGAGTAAGAAGAGGGCCACCAGCTCTGAGCTTGGGAAGGAAGGGTTTCTCCAGGAGATAGGCTCTGCCTGCAGCTGTCACCAGGGCTATCTGGACCTGCAATGCTCTGCTTATCACAACGGAGCAGAATCATTCATTCCCTCCTCTGCCCAGCTAGACCGTGAAGTCAGGGAGACAGGGAGGGTGTCTCAACCATTTTTTAATTTCCCATGACTAGCAGAGGGTTGGCATGTAGAAAATGCTTAGTGATGGATGCATTTCCCTGGTTGATCATCTACATCACCTGCTTCCCAGAGCAGGTATTTCCTCCCCTAAACTTCTGTTCTGCTCAGAATGCTCTAGTCGGCATGCTGACGGGGAGAGGGTTAGATGGACTACAATGACGATAGCTACAAACAGGGTTAACCCTAAATCCAATGAACCAGCTATCTTCTTTCCCCCAATCCTTCTGACCATTTCATATATTACATGCCACTTTCTTTATGAATACAGGCCTACTTAGAGTGACTCCTGCTTTTCCTTATGAAGGGCATGATGTATGGGGAAGAATTCCATCTTATATTAGAGAAAGTCCCATATATTAGAAGATATCATCATGTCAGTACTATGAGCACAGTAACACTTTGGTTACTTTCTTAGATAAGACCAAACCCTGGAGCCAAATCAAAAGTTTGATGTAACAAAACTTTATAGAGCGCCTACTAAGATCAGCACACTGTGGGAGACGCAAAGATGAATGAGACCTGATCCCACCCCCCTGGGTTGAATTAATCAGTATCTCTCTAGAATTCTATCTCCCGTTATCATGATTCTAAACCTAGGAGGTAAATATGGTTATTGGAAAACTGAAACTCAGCTGCCCAAGTGACAAGCCAAGAATCTGACTCCACAATTCACCTTCTTTCCAATGTATCCCTTTTCTAGTCTACTTAGGGAAGGCAACAGTTCTTTATGGATACAGGGTCAATGCTTGATGAATGTCAAGGGTCCAGGGGCCAGAGCCAGGGGCAGGTGCGAGATCAGGGACACTCCTTGGAGCTGATGAGACTTAACTAAACTTGGAGAGATGATGCAATCTTTCTTTCGATAATACATTTTGAATATAACACTGGCTTCAAGTTCAGAAGGACAGTTGAGTTTGACCCTTTATTTTCTGGTTAAAATAACTCACCCGAGTCTCAGGAGACGGCATGGCCAGACTCACCTGTTTCTGTAAGACCCCAGCCAGAGATGTGGCACTCGGTCCCAGAGGGAAAGGGACCATCAGGCAAACATACAGTCCTCACATATTTGGATTCCAGAGCACAGTGGCCATCCACTGGCTTTAGCTTGAGCAAAGCTAGGTAGAGAGAGAAAACAGAAATGGGTGATATTATCCTCTTTATCAAAGCATCCATTCCACCTTGATTGGAAGGTGCTTGTAGCAAGGCCCCACTTTTTCCATAATTTCATTTTTTAAATGACTAATCAATTTAAAAAACAACAACAACAGGCTTTCTAAGGGTAAAAAATGATATTGAGGAAGGAGAGAGAATGAGAAGTATCATGAATGGAAAACTGGACAGTAAGAAGCTTAAGTATATCATTGCCTAGCAGGTGTCATACGGGGTGTGCACGGGGACACATGCACATGATGACACCTAACACACAGGAAGCTGAGAGTTGCAGTCAGCTCCCCATTTTATAGAAGAGCAAACTGAGGCGAAGAGAGGTGAAGCCGGCTAGCAAGTGGGAGGGGTGGGATTCAAGGCTGAGCTCTTTCACACAACACAACATCGCTTCCCCTTAAGAGCTTGTGCATGTTAATCCACAACAGTAACCTTTAAGAACTAGAAAGTGATGGAATAAATTTTCTACCTTATAAGGTCTATGAGGGACCAGACAGCACCAACCCTCAGCTTTCCATCAGTAGAGAAATCCACCCAGGACAAGACCCGAGAGAGATCCCCTGCTAGAAGAGACTTGCCGATATCGTTGTAGGGAATGTCATCTCGTTCATGATAGTGGCTGTACTTGAGTATCTTCTCCACCCTGAAGGTCTGCTCATGGAATTCTGTCTTCTTCAAGTCCTGGTCCCCTAGGACCACTCTTAGATTTTTGGCTTTTAGGCTGCAAGGGAAAGTAAGATGGTCAAGAAGGAGCCCTGGCACTGGAGAGGCTGCAGCCAAGCCCTGGCTCTGCTCCCGGTGAACTGTGTGACCTTCGGTAAATGGCCCGACCTGCAGACTTGGCATCCTCATGTTATCATTGTCTTGTTCACAGAATTCTGCCATGTGGTCCAAATGGGACAACATGAAGAAACTGTTTTATTGAGGGGACAGTCTCTAAATACAAGCTGTAACTTGTATCCCACATCTCCTGGGAGACCTCTCATTCCCCACGGGTTTTGCTAAAGAGCAGCCAATGAACATCTTGAACAAATATCCTTGGTAGATGCCAATGTTTGCATGTTTGACCCTTGAGGGTCAAAGAAATTATCTAAGAACAGGGTGGACAGGAAGACCTTCAAGGCCACCACCAGAGCCTGGCTTCCATGGGACCAGCCCTGGCCACGAACTTAGGGAAGTCAGGGGAGGTAGTGATTCTTCAGGCTCCCAGTGCGTTCTGGCTTCTCTGAGGCACACAGGACCGAAGACACTTGACCTGGGAGGCTCACTGGTGAGGGCATCAGATGGGAGCATGTTATTTTTTCTTTCTGTCCAGATAGGACTAAAGAGGTTAAGGAAGCAGGTGGTCTGGGTTCACATCCCACTCACCTACTTCCTTACCATGTGACTTAAGGCCAGGTGCTAAACCTTCCCAAACTTGGGGTCCTCGTTTATGAAATGAGAGTAACAGTTAACTCTCTTTTTGCCCAACTGTTTACTGAGCACTTGCTCATACAAAGACCTATTCTGGGCAGTGGGGACACTTTAATTCATAAAAGGTAAAAATCCCTGTCCTCCCTCAGCCTGTCTTCTGGTGGATTGTTCTGAGAATTAAATGCCATAAATACATGGAATTCAAAGGTACGCATCCTGCCACCCTCTTTGCCCCTGGAGAGCAACAAGATGCTGCTCAAATGGGAAGGGGAGAACATCCCCATGGACCAGGTCCCCTGTCCTCTGCTCCCAGCAGGCACCTACTCAGTGCAGTGGGCAGCAGTGAGCACCCAGCACGGGTGGATCAGCGCCCCCCCACAGAAGTGGCCCTTGGGCATGAAGGCGGTCAGTGGCAGCGAGGTCTGCAGGGACACCTGCCACGGGTGCTTGCCCGCCGTGCTCTTAAAGCCTCCGTAGATCCTCTTGATTTTTCTCTCTGTTATCTCAGTCCTCCCGCACGAGTCAAAGCCCGGAAGCTTGGTCAGGGGCTCTACCGGGTCGGTAATGTCTGTGGGACACAAGAAAGACAAATCACACCATTCACCCTCCCTCCAAGTCCTCAGAAGGACCTTGTTAGAGGTATGACTCTGAGTCTAGCAACTTAGCGAGTATCCAGAGCTAAGAGATGGGTGCACACAGGGTGAGTAGGTAGTAGGCACACAATATTTGTTGACTACATTGATTAATATAAAGCAAGTCTATAAAGTTAACAATGAAAAACCTTGCTTTTTCATTCTTATTTTGACATGTACACACACAAAGATGTGAGTGCAAACATATAAGCGCATCACTGGGTATGTTCTTAGCTATCATTAGTGCATACATATATTTGGGGGCCTCTTTTGGTGCATAGGGAAAGATACCCAGATGAAGTAGAATGGGGGAAATAAGACATTTGCAGAGGTAACCATCATACAAAGTGATAAGTGCTGTAAGGATGGTGCCTGCTTTCTTTCCCTGAGGTTTCTGAGGAGGGGGAGATAGTACTGTATTTGGGAGATCATGAAGGACTTCCTGGAGGAGGGCTCCTTGAGTTGGGTCTCACAGAATGGTGGGTTATGGACAGAGTAGATATGAATGCAGTGTTACAGTCAAAGGTGATCATAAGAGCACAGAAGTGAAACTGTCCAGGCAGGCAGGCAATCCCATTGATCAGGATGGAAGGTGCATTGTTCCAGTTGTGGGTAGAGAGGTGGGCCAGCGCAGCCTGGAAGACTGTGAGGCTGGAATCCACTGTTTTGTATCCTGAGAGGCTATGGGGGCCCAGCCAATGTTTGGTCACCATTGTACACCCAGAGCCAGGCATAGTTCCTGGAACACAGCAAACAATCAACAAATATTTGCCGGGTGCACTGACTTGGAGTTAGGAAACACGAATTTGCATTTGCGCCACTGGCCCAAATTTACAAAGGTCTCCAGTCCTGCTCGGCATCCCAAGAGGGGAGTGGAGGATCCGGCAGTGGGACCACCACTGGGATGAGGGTCGGCAAAGCAGATGCTTGGGAAGACAAAGGTGGGAGAGATGGGGGCCAGGAACATCTGTCTACGGATCTGCATCCTCCCCCGACCAGGGCCTCTGGACAGTCAGGGTCTTACCTAGGGCTGGGCAGGCTGGGACATCACAGTACTCCCATTTCACCTTTGCACTGTTTGCTTTAATGAAACACCAGGGCTTTTTGTCTCCATCTGGGTTTCTAAAACAAAAACCAAGATAACTCAGGGTCAAGGCTTGGTGAATCCACGGGACCTCATTACAGGACCCTTGGGTAGAAGAGCAACACATTCTTGTGTGTCCCTGGGATCATAGATTGATTCTGGCATCTAAGGGTGGTTGTAGTTTTTTTGGCAAAACCTTAACTTCCAGAGGAGAATCCGATGACCAGGAAGGAGTTCATGAGCCTTGTGCCAGATCCATGGGACACATCCAATTATTCGTAGGAAAAGAAGTGAGATCCCCATTGACGATCCTTCTTTGTCAGGAAAGTGAAATAGCCACAGAAACATAGTGAAAGTAGGGCTCCTTGGCCCCAACCTCCAAATTCCATGCATGGGAAGTCTCTGAGAAAGGCCGCTGAGGGAGTCACCCTGCAGACAGCTCCATGAAGGGAACAGCTCAAGGTGAGTGAAAGTGGAAGGTCCCTCTTGCTTAATGGAACCAGTTTAAAGCCATACAAACAACTCCTGTCTCTTAGATACAGATCATGAATGTCCTTGGCCTCGATTAGACAACGAAGAGTAAGAGAAAACCAGCAGAATGGTCTGGAGGCACCAGAAGGGGCAGAAGGGAACTTGTTGTCACCTTTACTTGGGAGAACCTGAGCATTCTTGTGGTGAAGACCCTAACACTCACCAGACATCCAATTTCCTTCTCCACGTTTCTCCCTTAATGTTATATGGGGCCTCATGACACGTTTTCGTCAATGGCATATGTGTGCAGAGATGACGGGTCACTTCTAGGTTGAAGTAGTAAAAACAAAGCAAAACTCCTGCTCCATTTTTTTTCATTCTCTTTCTTTCTTGCCCTTCCTGGGTAATTGAGTCACTTTGTGGAGCTGAATCCCCCCATCCCCTACCAACCCACAGGACACATTAGTGAGAAATAAACTTTGATGTGTTCAAGCCACTGGGGTTGGGGTTTGTGTGTTACAGCAGCATCACCTAGCCTGTTCTGAGTATGAAAATCTTCCTAGAAAGAAGGATGACGAGTTCCAGTGTTCTGTCTCAAAATGTCTAAGCTGGCCCAGGAAATCTTGGAGCAGCGGAAAGAGACAAACCAACCCTTACACTGACAAGCGACCAAGACTGAGCAAAGGGAAGAAGGTGGTTTTCACCTGCAGAAGTTGTGCTCCCCAATCCCGTGGGCTTCAGCATCCTCCATAAACATGTTGTAATTCTCTTGCAGGAGGAGGTGGGAGTTCCAGTGAAGGCATGAGTGCTGGTTGATCGTCTTGCTCACTTTCCCCCGGTAAGAGTAGCCATCACCAACATAGCAGTCATCAGAACCTCAGAGAGAGCAGGTAGGGATGTGAGAACGGAAAGCAACTGGCATGCTGCTCCCGAAAAGGACTTGGCGGGTGTGTCAGGGGGTGAGACGATTGGGCCTGAATATTGATCACCCTGAGAGTTCACTACAAAGTCCCAGAAAGAAGGTGCCTTGAAGGTCCCACATTTAACCCAGCTCAAAAATGTGAAATAACCCTCGCTGGTTTTGCTCAGTGAATAGAGCATTGGCCTGCAGACTGAATGGTCCCGGGTTCGATTCTGGTTAAAGGCACACGCCTGGCTTGTGGGCTTGATCCCCAGTAGGTGTGCAGGAGGCAGCCAGTCAATGATTCTCGCTCATCATTGATGTTTCTAACTCTCTCCCTTCACCTCTGAAGTCAATTATATATATATGTATATACAAACAAACAAACAAACCTATGAAATAAAAAGTGCTTGTGGGTGGGTGGAAACTTAGTTACTTAACTTTGGCTCTCACAAGACCTGGTGGCAGGTGGGTTGAGGCCCAGAGGAGGCCCAGGTGGATCTGAGTTGCCTACACTCTATCCCAGTTTCTTACTTTCTCTACCTGTATGCCCTCAGGTTAGACAGTGATGGCGAACCTATGATACGTGTGTCAGAGGGGACACGTGAACTCATTTTTTTGGTTGATTTTTCTTTGTTAAATGGCATTTCAATATATAAAATAAATATCAAAAATATAAATCTTTGTTTTACTATGGTTGCATATATCAAAAATTTTCTATATGTGACACGGCACCAGAGTTAAGTTAGTGACATGCAGAGCTCAAAAGGTTCGTCATCACTGGGTTAGAAGGCTGAGGCAACAGCAGAGTTTGGGAATCTTGACTTGAATCCCGTTCTGGGAACAAAACCCAAACAGAACAGGATTCCCAAGGCCTCGCTGGTGGCCCTGAGATTCTGCCGAGGTGGTGGCAGAGACCCATACCTATTTCACAGAATTTCCCCTTGAACTGGTCGGGACAGGCACAGATGAACTTGGATCTTCGCCGGTTCCGGGAGCAGGTACCACCATTTTGGCAGGGGTTTGGCCTGCACACGGGAACCGCTGTGAACACAGGAAGTGGGGCCAGGAAAGGTCTTCAGAATGAGTTGCGGCCACATATGAGATGATGAGGAGACACTGGTGGCATTCCTCTGGTGTCCATCATTTCACAAAAGATGGGTCACCCAAGGGACAGACAGACCAACAGACACCCTAGTAAATGTGCACATCAACTCAAAGATCATCTACAAACATGGATGAGGCATTGTGATGAAGGCCACAAAGTGTATGCAAGTGCATGGGTCATGCAGTAAGGAATAACAAGAGGCATGGACGGGCAGGCCTTTGGGGATCAGTCTGAGCTAAGCTGAAACTTGGCTGTCCCCCTTTAAGGCTGTGTGACTGTGAGCAAGTTAGTCAACCTCTCTGAACTTTACTTTCTTCATCCATAAAATTCTTCCTTGAGTGTTTTAGGGAGAATGTGAGAGAGAATATAAATCGCCTTGGACAATCCCTGACTCATACACTGAAACAGTATAGATTTATGCCCCACCATGGGCCATTCTGGGAATAAACCAGGGCTGACTTCCTGGAGGAAGTGATTTTTAAGATGATTCTTTTTGGATGATAAGGAGCACAGATCAGGCAATTCTCAGTAACTCTCTAGGGATGATGAATCTTTAAAACTCCTAGTGATAATGGCCATCATGGATATTACTAGAACATCAAATGTATCTGGGCTGTAGGGTGCAGAGACCCCAGGCACGAGCCAGGGCAGAGAAAGCCTGGCATGGAGAGGGCTGCCGACACTTACCTGTGGAGCAGTCTGGACCCCTGTAGGGGTGCTTGCAGGCACAGCGGTAGTAGGGAGGACTCTGAGTAATGAGACATTCGCCCAAGCCACATGGTTTTTCATTGCACGTGTTTTTCACTGTAGGAGATCCATAGAGAAGAAGGTTCAAAGTACAGGACATTATTGGGGGCACATTTCACTTAGAGGGTTACCTGAACAGTACAATGTTTGAGGGTCAGATGGCGGATGGAGAGTGTGCCCTTGTCCATGGTCCTGAAAGACCTGCTTCTTTTACCCTTTTTCCCCGCCCCTCCCCCCTCCCCCACCCAAGCAAGGCTTTTCTCTAATCTTCAGGTTATTAGGATTGCTTCCCAGTTCCTTCCAGTGTTCCTTCCCATACTTACTCACATATTATTCTATCTTGATAAAAACCTTGATAACCTTTCCACCTTTAACAGAGCTGCACTTTGAGTTTCTCCGTTTCATAGCTGATTTTATATTTCATTTACATCTCCCCCCGACCATTCTTCTGAGAAGGTAAGGGGTGAGCCCAGATACTATGTTTATATCGATGTACCAAACCACCCAGAACCACTTGTGGAAGGACTTGTAGGATTGAAAATGGAAGGAGTAAATAAAGAGGACACAGAAGAGAGAAGTCAACCATAAAACCCTATGTATGTAAGACCTCCACTGCCTCCCCCACCCTGGTTAGATGGTTGCTAGGTGGAACAGAATCCAGGTGCTCTCCAGGGGTGCAATTAGTCCACAGGAGTTCCATTTGTCATGCTTATCGTATGCCCCCAAGAACTCATTGAAGGCAGACACAGCCTTTAATCAGAGCCCCCATGAGTGAGGAGAACAGGGAGAAAGAGCATGGAGCCAGGTGTTAGGCACCAGGGCGCGAACTTATGCTCTTCTCCTAACTAGCTGTGTGGCCATGAGGAAGCCCCCTGCCCTCGCTGGGCCCTCTTTCTCTAATGGAGTTGGGTATTATGTGCCCTGAGGTGCTTCCTGCTCTCCCATTTGAGAACAATGTTACTCTGTTGCTGTTAGTCTAAACACTCAAACCAAAACAAAGTTCTTATTCCAGCTCTTATCTCTTCTTAGCCTCGATATTCTCATCTATAGAATGGACACACCACTAGTCCTATGTATCATGCAGGGGCAAGGATTCAGTGAGCTGCTGCCTGTGACCATGCTGAGGAGTCCATCATGCATGATGTAATGTGTGTGGCGATGATCCTTCCTGAGGGGTCACTCGGCTCTTTTTTACCCCATTGACCTGGAGAAGGAAACTGCAGAGGGAGAGTGAATCCACTGAAGGTGCACTCACCATTCTGACACCTGCTTCCAGAGAAAGGGTCCAGGCAGCTGCACTTGAAAGTGTCCCCGCTGACGAGGCAGGTCCCACCGTGCTCACAGGGGCTGGGCAGGCATGGATCTGAGACAGTTGGACAGAAAGCAATGTTTGCAATAAACAGCAGGCAGGCGAGGAGCCCCCTACATACTCATCGAATTTCAGTCTCCAGCCCAAATAAGAAAGTAACTACACAGCCAGTGATTGGGGGAAAAGGGACACAGTCATGGCCCTTAGAGAGCAAGGAAGCCCTAGCCAGTTTGGCTTAGTAGATAGAGCATCTGCCTGCAGACCCAAGGGTCCTGGGTTCAATTCCAGTTCAGGCCACATACCTCCATTGCCCGGGCCCTGGTTGGGGCTCATGCAGGAGGCAACTAGTTGATACGTTTCTCTCACATCATTGTTTCTCTCTGTCTTTCCCTCTCTCTTCCACTCTCTCTAAAAACCAATGGAAATATATCCTCGGGCATGGATTAACAAAAACAAAACAAAAGAGCAAGGACAAAAGCAGTCACATGACCAGAGAGAGGGATTCAGGTTGGAAAGAGGACTGACAAGAAGGAATGGTGACTGTCTCCCCTCAGCCTGGCTTGCGAGGGGGCCTTTCTCATTGAGAAACTCCCCTTTCCCATCCTCAGTCTTTTCCTCCTCCCAGTCTCGCTGGGAGTGCCACGGGGTCTGTCTCTGATGCTGAATGCATTTCACAAGCCTGAAGACCTCCCCTACTCCCAGGGCCCGGGGGTGGAGGTCAGGCCTGGGGAAAGAAAACCCACCCCTAACGGAACACACGCTTTCTGAACATCAGGCACGGAGACCAAAGGCAAGAGGGTGACAGAAAAATTGACGGCAAGGAGGAAATGACCCAGTGGCCTTCATCTTTCTTCAACTACTTGTTCAGTTAGATTTTGTCATATTTCATCTGTGCCTTTGGCTTTTCATGGTTGTCTGAATGGATCTTCCCTCGGGGAATTCTTTATCCTTCTGTTCACACGCATTGTTCTTTGGTTCAGGGACTAGGATCCCTGGGCCCCGCTCTTGTTTTGATAGTCCCTTCTGATGTTCCCCCGATGCCCCATGTCTTAGCCCTGCCTTCCAGGCCACTTCGCACAGTTTCACAGCTTTTATTCCAGCGGCTGGCTGCTTTCCGTTTCTTCCGCTGCTGTAAGGCACATGGCTGTGCTTGGGCCAGCGTCTCCCTTGCCTTTCTGCACTCTGGCTCGGTTAAGAAGCCACAAAAAAAAAAAAAAAAAAAAAAGGGGCAGAAGCACACACGTGAACACACACACGCACACACATCCTAAAAACAATGCAAAGCTTCTAAAGAATCAAAGAGGAAGAAAAACACAGCACAGGCGCAAGGGAAGGGAAATGGCAATGCCAAGTTTGTGAATGCTGCCAATCTGACGCTGAATGTTAACTCAGACGCTTCTCCCCAATTAGGGCCTACCTGTCATGAAAGCTCTGGGAATGATTTTGACTCTGACTCCTACTCACAGTGTCGGGAGAGCTAGATGCTGAGGCACTAACTTGTGTATCAACTTGACTGAGTCAACTCCTTTCCTGGTCTCATTTGCCTCACCTGTCCTCTGAGGCTGAGAGCGATGGTCTCAGAGGACCTCCCCAGGCCCCGCAGTATATAATTCTAGCTGGACAAATAGCCAGTTTCAATAATTTCTTTGGTGCCTATTTTACCATGCCCGTCAGAGAGCAGGAAGAGCGGGAGGCCTTTGCACGTGGTAACACATAAATTCACCTCCAGGTGTGCTGCCCTCCTCCTGGGAGGGCCCCTGAACAGTGTTGGTACCTGCTATGGAGAGGAGTTAGCTTGGAACGCAGGCAGATAGGCCCAGGGTCCTGTGGAAAACAAAGGCAGGTGGAACACAGGCAGGGGCAGGCATGGCAGTTTGAGCAGCCTAACCACAGGAACCAACCAAGCAGAAATAATAAAACGTTTCTGGACTCAAAGCGGGAGGCATGGGAAACCAAGGGAGGGCCTGCAGTAAACAAGATGCATGAACACATAGACACAGGGAAAGTTCAGCATAGGAACAGAGAAAGCGCACACAGAAACAGGGAAAGTTCAGCATAGGAACAGAGAAAGCACACACAGAAACAGGGAAAGTTCAGGTCCGTTGCTGGGCAAGAACAATTGAGGGAATCAATCAGGTGACGACACAGGTAGACATAGAGCAGCTTGTAGCAAATATATATGCCTGGACCACAAGGCTTTAGTGGGCATCCCATTCTTGGGTCCCCCTCCCCTTGTGGGGAGTCTGAATCTTCCACACTGTGCTTAAATCTTTTGGTCCGCATAGCTCATTCTTCCGCGTCTTGAGACACAACCCCGGGAAAACACCTTGGCTCACCGTTCCGGTTATCACTGTAGTCTTCATAGTACCACTCAGGATTATCGGGGTGGTCAACAGCACCATCCGTGCTCTCTTCCTGTGTGTAGTACTCAGGGCTGTACTCATAGTTGTCGGGAGTCCAATCTGCAGGGGTGGGAACAGGACCGAAGAAACCCCAATGATTACATCAGCCATTTTATTTCACTTAACATTCCCCCCCTCCCCCTCTCCAAAGATTTCAAAGTCCTGGAGGAGGAATCATGTGTCTTTCCAGATCCTCACACTGATGGGGTGGACAGAGGTCAAGCATCATGAGTTTCCATTTGGAAGAAGGATGAGGTCACCCCCCAGCAAAGCAGCGTTGGCACTGGACAGGGTTAAGAGCACCTGATTGGAAAGGGGAAGAAGTCAAGTTCTGGCTTCCCACTGAATGTGACCTTGGACAAGGCAATGGTGTTCTTGGTGTCCCCGTGTTCTCATCCGGAAGCAGCATGAAGGTGATTGGAGCCTGAAAGGTCTCCAAGGTCCTGTGTAAGATCTGCCCAGGGTCAAAGCCAATGGCACTTGAGTGCCCCATTGGATGGTTCTGTGAATAAAATTTCTCGATGGGACTTTATTAGTCACCTGAGCTTAATGAAGTCAAAGGAACTAGTCTTCTTGGTCACAGCATCAAATCCTCCTGAGTTGTGTCTAGAGAGTCATCACAACAGCTAATGTTCATTGAGCCTTTACTGTGTACCAGGCCCTGGACTAAGCATTTTACATGAACCTTCAATTTCATCCTCACAAAAGTTCAGATATGTTATTATCTCCATTTTAGGTTGAGAAACGCAAGGCTGAAAGAGGTTAAGTAACTTGCCCAAGGTCACATAGCTAATAAACAGCAGGATATAAATTAAGACAGTTTATCTCAATAGAACCCCTAAATTGAACCCTTGGCTGCTTCTGTTTGGCCTCGTACAGGCCTTAGGTACCTCTACACTTGCCCTTGGGAAAAGCCATCCCCAAGGAATAGCCAGCCTGCTAATTAGGAATCACCCAACGACAACCTTGAGAAGGTTCACGGATCCTGCGCACTGAAAGGCAGGGCCGTGTATGGCGTTTCCCAAGGTGCAAACCTCACACTGGCCAGTCCACTGGGAAGAGCAAGTGTGTGACAGGCTGGACTCAAGCTCATTGACATGGGGCCTTGGAAGATGCTGGGAGCTCTGTGGCTCACGGAGAGAAGTCTGGGGTTTGCAGAAAGTTTGCAGAGGCCAAGCAGCTGGGGGACCAAGCAAGAAGGGCGCTAAGACTCTTTCCATTTGGGGTGGGCTGCAGCATGTGCTGAAGGTGCTTTGTGGGTGCATCACCTGGGAGGGTTGCTTTACCTCTGAACTTAAAGCTTATTTTGTCCTTTCTCTTCTGTTGGCACTTAATCCCATTGTCTAGATTAAAAACACGTGCATTGTACACCATGGACTTGGCTGGCTCCAGCTGGCAGGAGCATGGCAGGCAGAAGCCGTACGGAAGCCGTCCAGAGATGCATATGATAATGAGGCCAGCGCAGATGCAGATAGCCGACTTGAAAAGGCGCTCCCACCGAGCCAGCTGATGGCTCCGAGGACCGCACTTTACCCAGGCCCGGTTATCAATCGCATTACCTCACTCGCCTCTCAGTCATCCCCTTCGCGTCTTTATCTCTCTGGCTTTTGAAAAATCGACTTTTGCACAATGGCTGTTTTATATTTCCCATTAAAATGGAACTATCTTTTTATTTCCTTTTTGAATCTGCCAACTCTGGTTCCTTGCCAGAGTTTCACCTCATTTATCACAGTGTCAAGTCGAGACTCCCTTTGCTTGCTCATTATTTCTCCCGAACTGCCTTTCCCCACTCTGAGAATGCTCCCAGAGGAGGCCACCTTCCAGGGATGAGGATCTGGGTTGAAGATAAGGCCATTGTCTTCCTGGAGCAAATAAAGTTTCTTTCCATCTAGTTGGATAAAGCAGAGAGAAAGTGAGGGGAAAAAAAATGTTTTTCTGAGTTTGACATAAAAGCTTTCCAGCTGACATTTGGGAGAGACAATGGGGTCTGATAATGAGGTATTGCATCATCTCTTTCTTTTTTGCTTTGGAGAATGCATTTTTGTTTTTCTAACAGGTGTTTATAGATAAGTGCCTCCCATTGCTCCTGTCATTTCTCCCATCACTCCCTCAGGTGGAGGGTCAGATGGGCTAATCTTGGTGAGGCCACTCAGAATCCACCCCTTTGCAGATATTAGGAGAAGAGAGTTTCACATGGATGGAATGGAGCAACTTCTCTGGGGGTCGGGGAAAGGATGAAGTGTCTGCTGGACGATTTTGACTTGAATCCAACCCTAGGAACAAGATCTGCTCATCACTGAGGAAAGCTACGGAGGGAATAAACCAGGTAGGCTTTGAATTATGCTCCTGCTATTCTCCAGGGCCCACGCCCTCGGTAAAGGTGGACAGAGGCCGCAGAGCTGGGCGCTGTACAAAGGGCACTAAGATCCTCCCCACTTGGGGTGGGCTGCAGCATCACCGGGGAGGAGTCTTCACCTCCAAACTTAGAGCTTATCTTGGCCCGGCCAGTGTGGCTCAGTGGTTGAGCATTGACCCATGAAGCAAGAGTTCACAGGTTTGACCCACAGTTGGGGCACATGCCTGGGTTTTGGGCTTGATCCCCAGTAGGGGGTGTGGAAGAGACAGTTGATGGGTATTTCTCTCTCGTTGATATTTCTATCTCTCTAGCCCTCTCCCTTCCTCTCTCTCTAAAATCAATAAAAACATATTTAATAAAACATGTTTGATAAAAAGCTTATTTTGTCTTTTCTATCCCATTGCCTAGGTAAAAAAAATGTGCATTGTACACCTACAATGGGCCAAGTATTATGGCAGGTGCAGGAAGGCCTTGGGACAGTGGGGAGTAAGTAGTACAAATAAGAGGGGATGTGGCCTCCATCAAAGGAGCATCTTGTCTGGGTTGACGGGGGAAGAAAACTGGCCAAGGAAGGAGATGAAAGGGTAGCGCAGAGGTAAGGAAGCCAGATGTGGCCAAGCTCAGGCCTGGGAGCCTCAAGTTCCACATTGGCCCTCTGGTGTGGTCAAAGCCAATCTGATGGAAAACATGGCCCTGGCTCCCACCCTTCCCTGTAGCCACACCTTTTGCCATGTGACTTTGAAGCTCCTCCCACAAAAGATAAAGCCCATTTTCCCTGGCCCTTGGTTCTGGGCTGCCCTTGGGACTTGCTTTGGCCCATAGCATGTGGTGAAAGTGTGCCTGGGCCTCGGGAAGCCTTGTGTGCACCACCCCTCTCCCCCATGGACCCCTGTGACTGCATGTGAACAAGTGTGGCCTGTACTACAGGCAGATGAGAAGACATGAGGGGCAGCAGCAGGTCCAGTGGTCCCAGCCAAGGCCTCGGACATGTGAGAAAGCCCAGCCCATCCACCAGCTCAGCCTGGTCCAGACCAGAAGAACAGCATGGCTAAGCCCAGTCTACATTACCAACTGAAGAATTAAGTTCTACATACATTGTTGATGGTCAAAACCACTAAGTCTGGGGAAGTCATAACAAACAGACACCCAGGGCTTGATGATATTGGGTTGCCGGTGGGATTAGAATGTTAGATGCCAGAACATTCCTCAGTGGCCCAGGTGGCTGCAGAGGTTAAGTTTCAGGGCCAGATCTCAGATGGCCCTTCTCTCTTATGGCTCCTATTTAACTCCTTCTATCAACGTGTTTCCTCCAACTCGGTCGGTTGTTGGTTTCTTAAGAGCAGGGCCAACCCTATTTTCCTTTCTACCCCACCATGCCCAGCACAGAGCCCTATATGCACTTAATGTGTGTGTTTGACAGATTAAGTTTTCCCTCTGTGACTATGCCCTTCCTTCTATTGGGCTGCACACAGTGGGCACAGAGCTATACCAGCAAAGATGGCGTCTGCTTGGAGAGTTTAGGAGAGAAACTATGTGAGATTTGGGTCAGGTGTTTGGTGGGAAAAATGCCTGTTGAGCTCTGTAGGAGTCTAGAAACTTGTCCAAGTACTTTTCTGGGTAGAGAGGGATTGCAGCCTAACATGAAATTTGGCTCCATTGGTGGATTGTAGAAAAACAGTCCAGGTTCAAATACAGATTACTCGAGACTTTCTCTGGGCTGTAGAAAAGGGGAGAGCTCTGGGGGAGAATGCAGCAGCTGTCAGAAGCACATTATATTAGGTATAAAAAGAAATCCCTGTGGATTTGTCTATTGTTCAGAGTCTGTGTCTAGAGTGTATCAGGGAGAAGAGCAAGAGCTTCCTGTATTAACCCGAATCGTCCTAACTAGAGGTCATTCTGTACCGAGTATTTTCTATGTCTCAGGCACTATCCCAGATCAATGTGCTGCCCACCATCTTATTTAACCTTCAGATAACCCCACGGCATCGGTATTATTACTGCTATTTTGCAGAAGAGGAAAACCTCAAGCGGAAGGAGGTGGCATCTGAAACCAAATCTACCCAACTCCAAATCTGGGGGTGCTTTTTTCTAAGCCCTGGAGCCCCCTCAGGGTTTATGTTTCATGAAAGCCCGTGGGTTTGGCTTCCAGGAAGTAACACGCACTGGAAAATGTTCTTTAACCCAGGCTCCTGGTCCCTCGGCCTGGATCACCATGGTCCAGACCCAAGGTCTCTCGGAAAAACTCCAGAGTCGCTGTGACGGAGGCTTTGCAGCTGCTCCGGTTAAAGAGCCTGCCAGATGTGTGGAACGGAATAAAAATCCCCGGAATGCCGTCCCTGTTGGCGTCATCCATCACCGTGGCACAGCCGGTTCCTCCCAGGGCCTCCCCCAAACCCCAGCCCTGTCCGTCTGCATTTGACGCTTCCAATCCGGCTGACAGGGCAAGCCCAGCGGAGACCCTCCCTGGCAGGCGGTGGGACAGCTGATGGATGGGCTCAGCCTGTGTCGCTGGGCAGAGCCAAGCCAGCTTTGAAGAGGCATTTCCGCAGGCCTGCTGGCTGTCGCGTCACCTGCTTTGGGGAGATGGGCAGAGCCTGTGCCGTTTGATGGCCACCTCCTTTGCCACCCACTGGGGACCGTGGCATGGGCACCTTCTCCTCCAGCAAGACCCTCCCCGTGCCCTGTCTGCAGCAAGATCAACAGAAGAAACAGCTTGCCTGTGGACAGGAGACCGCGTTTCCCGGGCCACACCGTGGTCCAAAGCCTGCTGGGCCCTGACAGATTTCATCAAAGCACAACCCCCCTGTGAAATGAACTCAGACACCAACAGGGGTGACTTTAAAACCTAAGCTGCCCTTTGCAGCAAGACTCAGCCCTGCACCTCACCCCGCTCCACAGCCGGAGGCTGACAGACACCTCAAGATGGACTCAGAAGCCCAGGGATGGCATGTCCCACAGTCCCTTCCTCTACTCGCCCGAAGCTACTGGCAGAGTTCTTACCAAGCCCAGAACCTCGGGATGTTAAACCCCACACTCTCCACTCCCGGCTAAGTTGTTCTGTAGCCCTTTGCTTAAATACCACCAGTGAGGGGGAGCTCACTACCTCTCAAAAGCCCAACAGCCTATTCAGATTTCTGGACAACTCTGACAATGAGGACATTCTCCCTGTTCGAAGGTCAAATCTGCCCCTATTGACTCCACCCTGTTTAATTAGAGTTGTGTGGCCACCGTGAATGAATCCACTCCCTTTTCTGGGATCTCTGCTCAGTAGGGCCATGGCTCCCAGTTGTCCCTGTTGTTCACTGCACAATCCAGGGCATCATGAGCTCACGGTCATTGTAGACGTATGTCATTTACAACTTTCCGGCAGATGGCAGTCAAGTGTCATGAGGCCGAGACGCCTCTTAATTCCCACAGTGTCCACCTCATGGAGAAAGGGTGGGGCTGCTTTTCAAACACTTGAAGGGAGTGCGGTCCCTGGAGACTTTCATGCCCCTGCTTCATCACTGGGTGACCCATAGTCCTGCCGTTCTGTCTCTCGGACACCCAGACCAGAGCAGCCCCTTCGCAGGTGCCTGAGCAGTTAGTGCTGAAGGCTGGGGAGGGGGCAGCGTGTGGCTTTGGACCCTCCCTGGAGTCCATGTGTGGATGCTGGCGTGTCCAGCCGGGGGAACGCTCCGAAACAGGGATCCCCAAGGAACTGAATTATAGGTTGGCTTGGGCATTCTCCTTTGCTTTGGGGAAAGACCCAGATCTTAGAAATCCACAAGCACGCTCACATACGTTCCTGTGCAATTCCACACACATTTCCTGAGCAGGCGGGCAGGACAAAGGCCAGGCATCCATTGCCTGGAGCAGCACAGCCTGCCTGCCCATCCCAGGCTTTGCTGAGGAAGAATATTGACTGTCGTACCAATTTGGTCCAGTGATTGGCATCTTGGCTCCAAATAAATCCAAAGTTTAGACGTGACTGCAGTCTCCAGAGGCAGGTTCAGACCCGGGGCCAGAGACCAGGCACAGGGGATGGGGAAGGGAGAAGGCGAGAGGGCGAGGCTGAATGAAAGAGACTCACTGGGGAGTGGACGCATTGAATCTTGAGGAGAGCGACCAGGGGTGGGTCAGCCTGGGGGCTCCCTGCGTGGCACTGACACCTTCCTCTCAGCATAGAGGTGCTGGCTTCCCACCTCAGGGGGCGAAGTGAGTGGCGGTGGCATAGGGCCGCCCCTCCACCCCGGAGCCAGTCGTTGCTCCATGACACCCTGACTTTGTCTTGTACCTGTCACCTCATCTCAGACACCAAAGGGCTGGGTGACCTGGGGCAAGTTGCTTCCCCTCTCTGGGCCTCAGTGTCCTGCTCTGTAGAATGAAGGGGCTTAACAGCATCAGCAATTTGTCCCTTGGGGTCCTGAGACTGGGCATCAGGGGTGTCCATGGGCAACTCGAAATCAGGTAAAGCACTGTGTATGTGTGGCCATACAAACACCTGGGGATGTATTTTCCCAGGAAAATCCTCAAAGGAGTCTGCGATGCCTTTGGACCATTTGAACTCTGAGGTTGTGCCTACACTCCCGTGCCTGGTTGCCCTTCTCCCATCCCAGAGCCAGCCTGTAGGGGCGGCGGGGGGGGGGGGGGGGGGGGCAGGGAGCCCCCGGCAATCAGCACACTCACCTGGGTCCAGGTCTGGAAACAGGGACATCAGAGAAAACTGGAAAACAAAACGACACAGACAGAGCCAGGTGAGTGAGTCACGGAGCCGCTGACGCGCCCTCCAGCAAGGCCAGGCGCTTGCCTGCCTCCTCACACGTACCCGTACCCAGCACAGGGCTGGCACACAGCATTCCTCAAAGAGTTTGTGTTGGGTCAAGGATGCTATCAACAGTTCCTCTTAGAATGCAGTACTTACCAGAAAAAGAAAGCTTTCCTCATTTAGTCGCTGGGATATTTCTTTTCATGTAAATCAAGGGTTAATAACAAGAGCCCTTGGGCCAAACCCCGCAGTGGTGGTTTTATAAATAAAGTTTTATTGGAACACGCCATGCCCATTTGCTGACATGGTGCTAATGGCTGCTTTTGTGCTGCCATGGAGGGGAGTTGTGACAGAGACAGTATCGCACCATATATTTGTCTGGCACTTTACAGACGTTTGCTGACTTCTGACGTGGAAAATGAGAGGTCTGTCGCCGACACGTTTCCTCCTGGGCCCTGGTGGCCAGAAAGCTGGTCACCGTGATGCACCTTCCGGCTGCCCACGTCTATCTCGGCAGCACCAGTTCTAGCTTTATTTTTAGTTCTGTTTTACTGTAGGCTTCCTTACCCATTTGGGGACTGAGGCAGATGCTAAATTAGGAAAGAAAGGTAAAAAGAAGGAATGCATCCCAACACGATGTACCGAGGGCGGGACATCAGCAAGCAGCACCCTTGGCAGCAATGCCTGTTCTGCATCTTCTCACAGGGACCACGCCTGGCCTGCACCTACTCGCAGGAAACATGCTGTCCTGCATGTACTTGCAGGGAACATGCCTGTCCTGCATGTACTCGCAAGGAACATGCAGGTCTGGGTGGTGGGCTTGCTACGGAGCGGCTCACCTGGACTCTGCAAAAATGCCAACGCCGCCTAACACAAAAGGATGGAAAGACTGCTCTTCACTAAATGAGACTGAAGAGACACAGCACCGAAATGCAGCGTGTGACCCTTGGTTGCATCCGAGAGCTTTAAAAACAGCTAGAAAGGACATTCTTGGAACAATTGGGAAATTTGAATGTAGACTTCTATGAGATAGTATCATTGTCTCCATGTTGAATTTCTTGAGAGTGATAAGGGCACAGTTGTTTCTCTGAGGGAAAATGTTCTTGTGCTTAGGAGATGCTGAAGTATTGAGGGTGCTGTCTGCAATTTAGCTGCAAAGGACTTGGCACACCAAACACATATAGTCATACACAAGAGAGCAAGAAAGAAAGCAACATGGCAAAATGCTCATCGCTGATTCTACCTGAGCGAAGGATATTCATTGCATGAGTCTTGCCACTTTTCTGGAGTTTTGAAAAATTACAAAATAAAAGGCTGGGGAGGGGAAAGGAAGGCGCAGAAAGGAAGAGAGGCCCTTTGTTGCCTAGACTGTGCCTGTGTGATTGCTTCCCAGCCCCACAGCCCTGTTGCTTCAGGAGATGAGACAAGGGAGGGGGTGGTTTGCTTGGCCGGGATGGCAGATGGATAGTGGGAGGCTTGGCAGAGGAAGAGCAGGGTCAGGTCTCGAGGGTGGTCCTGGTCCTGGGGTGCTTGCATGGGGAGCATCTGGAGTTGACACCTCTGGGCTCGCGTGTCAGGGCAAGAGAGGACCCTGAGGACGAATGTATGCTGCCCCCCATCACTCTCACCCTGTCACAGCCAGTCAGCTCTGCCTTGGTCCGGGTCCTGCCCTAAGCCCTCCCATCTTCCCACCATCCAGCTCATCTGGAGGGCAGGGCAGGGCAGGGCCCACCCTCTCTACCTGTCAGCTCTTCGGAGACAGACATCCCCTTGAATTCTCTTATTTGAGTTGAATAGTGTGGGCCAAGCCTGGCTACCAGCAGTGCTGAGATGTGGGCGGGACCTGAGGGAGAACTTTAGGGAGCGTTCGTCCTCTGGAAAGGGCCTCCCAGACCTGTACCTGGGCCAGGCAGAGCTCCACATCTTAGTTCTAAACTGGAGCCTGAGGGACAGCCAGGTGCTGTGCTGACCATGGCCAGCAGGTGGCAGACGTGCCCTTCCCAGGAGCTGGAATTGGACTGGAGCTGAGGGAAACCAAACAAAAAGAAAGCCCAGCAGGACCTTCCTGGACTGGGGTGGGGTGGGGGCCTCAGATCCCACGGCTCTCAGGGAGTCTGAAGCAGCTGCCGCCCAGCTGTGCAGCCTGGCTGCAGGTCAGGGGGTCCCAGGGATCCGAAGAGGCTTGCTCATTTTGTGAATCACAGGTCCACCGTGAAGAGAGAGGCTATGGTGAAATGTGGAAACTGGCAGTGCAAGCACCAGGCTGGATACTGGGGGAACCGTATGGGAAAGGTCAGGTCAATAGCCAGCCATTTATGCCCTGGATCTGGATCCTGAAACTGACCTGGGTGATGGTGGGGGCGGGCGGGGAATGAATAGATGTAATATTTGTCTTATTTCATTCCATTATTCTGTTCAGTTTCCCCACACAGAGACAAGGAAATAAATGATAGAAGTCCTACTCCTGGGACTTGCAAATCCGATGAAGAAGAGCAACACAAAGGAAGGAGGAGGAGGAGAAGGGGGGGAGAGGGGAGGAGGAGGAGGAAGAGGAGGAGGAGGAGGAGGAGGAGGAGGAGGAGGAGGAGGAGGAGGAGGAGGAGGAGACAACTATGATCTCACTTTGACTAAGAGCTGACAGTGTGCCAAGGACTGTGCTAGATGTTTCACATGCATTCTGTCTCACTGATTGCACACAATACTGATCACTGAGGCATGGCGATTATGTCCATTTTAGAGGTCAGAAAATGGCCCTAGCCAGTTTGGCTCAGATCATCAGCCTGTGGATCAAAAGGTCCTGGGTTCGATTCCAGTCAAGGGCACATACCTTGGTTACAGGCTCCTCCCTGGCCTGGGCCCTGGTCAGGATGCATGCAGAAGGCAACCAATCGATGTTTCTCTCTGTCTTTCCCTCTCTTTTGCACTCTCTTTAAAAGATCAATGGAAATATATCCTCAGGTGAGGAAAGAAAGAAAGAAAGAAAGAGAGAGAGAGAAAGAAAGAAAGAAAGAAAGAAAGAAAGAAAGAAAGAAAGAAAGAAGAAAGAAGCAAACAGGTTGGCAGAGATTGAGTTGGTCAAAGGAACTCAGCTAATAGATGCTGGAGCCGAGATCAAATGGAGCCAGGTTTATGCCAGAGCCCTCACTCGCAACCTCCGTTGCTGAGGGAACCATGGTGTGCCCCTGTCGTAACGAAAGAATAGAGGAGAAAGAAACGGAAGAGCTCCCGAACCCTAAGAGACAGAGTACTGAGCGAGGGTAAGAGACTGGGTCCCTGTTCTCTGAAAGCTTTGTGAAAGGCCTGCCCAGAGGAGCCCAGGCCTGGCCGGACACAGAGAGGGCCTTGAGGTTCCGGTGAAAGCTGGGGAGCCCCAGCCAGTCCATCCCTCAACAAGCCTCTCCACCCAGATCGAAAGGCAGGCAAGCCGCTGCCCTCTTCTTCCACCACGACTGTCCCAAGTCTCAACAGGGCTAAAGCAGCATGTGGTCCATCGGCCCCAGCTCCTCTGGGAGAGCTGCACACACCTGCTTCGCACGCATGGAAAGGTAGAGGCTTTGCCATGGATTCAGAGAGAACCCCTCTAGGTCCAGCTGCTGGTCCACTTGGGCTTTCTCAGTGGATCCATGGCTCAGGACTCAGGCCTTCCCCAGTTAGGAGCAAGCCCTCGGCAATGTCAGCCGCCTCCTGGTCACCAGAGAGCCTGTGTCAAGGTCTGGTGTCTCATAGGCTAAGGGTGGTCAGTGGGGAGGGGCCGAGAGAGAAGGATCCTGAGTCTTACTGATTAACAGTGTCATCTCCTTAGATGTGAAGGGCATTGGGGTCTAATCTATGTTGTCCTATCTTTAATCTAGTGATTATTACAATTCAGGTTCGTCCTCTGCCTTTAAGAATTCTAAACCTTCCTGAAAACAGAACAAAAGGGCAGAGACTAATCGTCTGAGTTGATGATTTCCAGGAATTAGCTGATAGGAAATGTTCTCCGAGGACTGGGAAGAATGGAGGGGAGAGATGGGCTAGTCCTGTCCTTTGGGGCCAGAAGCTTGGCTCCAAATGAAACAAAAGCAAAACCATCTTTCACCTGGTAAGTCAAAGGTTGGAACTCTAATCCCAACCCTCCCTTTATCCTCAGATGTTCCTTTTCTCTCAGAAGAACTGGTGGTAGACCAGATGGCCACCAGGAAAGGACTGCATTACTGCCAAAGGCAGCTGGGTAGGAGAGAACTCTGCACCGTGGCTAAGTGAGGCTGCAGCTGTTGGGGACCAAGCACAACCCTGAAGCTGTCCTCAGGCCTGTGCTCCCCACAGTGTGGGAAGGGGACCACTGTTGGCACCCAGATGGATTTGCATGGCTTCTGGCCAGGGTGTCACGTAATATTCAAATACAAGGGAGAAAGTCATTTCCTTCTCAATGTTAGTGTCAACCCTTCCAATCCCATCACAAAGTGACTTGGGGGGTGGGGATGGGGGTGCTGGTACATTTCTATCATCTACCTCTCGCTAATCTCCCCTTCTACCAAGGAGAAAGCAGGCTGCAGGCTCTGAGCGTGAGTGAACACTGGAGCCAGTCAGAGCCCAATGACATCCTTTTGTTTTCTTTGATTTTTTCCATCTATAGTTGTGACAGTTTCCTTTTAAAAAATGCATCTATTTAGCTAGAGAAAAGGTGAGTCTGTTTTAACAAAAGTATGAGAGACTGGTTTGGGCTTTGACAAGATTTCTGAAGGTGGATTCATACATGATTAAAGGTTGGAAAGCACTTGAACTAATTAACTAGCTGTCTGGAAGACTGGATCTGTCCCGGATGAGAAGAAAAGCTTCAGGGACTGTGGGTGGAGCCTGCAGGGAGAAGTAACCTGATCTCCCGCCTGAAGCTGGAGTCTCAGGCCCCTGCCCTCTGACACCTTTCACACCACCTTGAACCTGCTCATTTGTTTATGGATAGCGCCTGGCGTGGCAGC